TATATTTGTAACTGGGTGGCAAATTTATATTGTGTATGGAAACAAGCTGGGAACCTCAGTCAAAGCCATTCTCCCTTCAGATCGGCTTGCATCATAATTACATAGTTCTACAGTGGGGAACCATAATTTAACTGTACACCACAAATACTTCTCCCCATTTCGCTCTCCTCCTCTGCCTCATCTCTTCAGTGTTACTCATCCAAAATAGAACAAATTTGTCTTTCTATCTGAATCCTTAACTCCACCCCGAGCTACTCCTCTGTGTTCTCGTGCGGTGGCAGACGCTTTTTCCCTTAAAACGCCTTTGTGACTTCGGAAGCTTTGGTAATTACAAGAAGAAGGCAGATCTATGCTGTGTGATGTTTAGACAAGACGTGTGCGAGTTGATGCAAGGTTTCCAGGAAGCGGGGGAACAGATTTTGACTGTTGAGTGGGTGCAAAGCTGTCAAAATTTCAAAGAAGAGCAGTACGTCTCCGCCCCATCGTCACTTTCTACGAGGCCCCGACCAGAGCAGAGGAAACCATCTAGGAAGCTTGGAATGCATTTTTTACTCCATTGTTCCTTGGATTCCAGCAGACCTTTGAAATCATCGAATGGAAACACCCTATATTGTGATAGGAAAGCCGCCGAGACGCAAAACATACTGGTTAATGGTACTAATGTCTCCCCTCAGGCAGTCTAGTACTTTCACATTTATAGTGCCTTCTGGGTGGCGGCCAGAACATGGCTGAAACCATATTTAGTTGAACGTTTGAAACATTACTCAACCATCATAGACTGTGTATAAATGTATACTGCAAACCCCCTAGCTCATGATAAACTCAAGCCCGTGGGCCAAATCCAGCCCTCAAGACCATTTTTAGTGGCCCCTAAAATGAAATGAAATTATTGATTGACTGCGGAACCTTCCGCAGTCAACCATTGGTTTTGTATTTCTTTATTCCGTCATTTTTTTTGACACGTTTCACAGCTTTCACATTTTCAACAATTTCCACAAGTTATACATCAAAACGTTCCACATGTTTGGGAGATTATTGCTATTACTTTTGGGACTTCAGCGATTTCCGGTTTTTCCGCAATCGGACAAAAATCTGCATTGAGAATTCTGCAATGCATTTTAATAGGCCCATGCATTTTAATAGGACTTCAGCTCTTTCAGACATTTCTACAGTTTCAATGATTCAACAGTTTCAAGGATTCAACAGTTTCAAGGATTTCAGCAGTTTCAAGATTTCAAGAGTTTCAAGGACTTCAACAGTTTCAAGGACTTCAGCAGTTTCAAGGACTTCAGCAGTTTCAAGGACTTCAGCAGTTTCAAGGACTTCAGTGTAATCATGCAACCTAATAGGGATTTTTCCATGTAAACCAGTATAATGCAACTTAATAGGGATTTTTCCATGTAAACCAGTATAATGCAACTTAATAGGGTTTTTTCATGTAAACCAGTATAATGCAACTTAATAGGGTTTTTTTTCATGTAAACCAGTATAATGCAACTTAATGGGGATTTTTCCATGTAAACCAGTATAATGCAACTTAATAGGGGTTTTTACATGTAAACCAGTATAATGCAACTTAATAGGGTTTTTTCCATGTAAACCAGTATAATGCAACTTAATAGGGTTTTTTCCATGTAAACCAGTACAATGCAACTTAATAGGGATTTTTCCATGTAAACCAGTATAATGCAACTTAATGGGGATTTTTCCATGTAAACCAGTATAATGCAACTTAATGGGGATTTTTCCATGTAAACCAGTATTATGCAACTTAATAGGGATTTTTCCATGTAAACCAGTATAATGCAACTTAATAGGGATTTTTCCATGTAAACCAGTATAATGCAACTTAATGGGGATTTTTCCATGTAAACCAGTATTATGCAACTTAATAGGGATTTTTCCATGTAAACCAGTATAATGCAACTTAATAGGGTTTTTTTCATGTAAACCAGTATAATGCAACTTAATAGGGTTTTTACATGTAAACCAGTATAATGGAACTTAATAGGGGTTTTTACATGTAAACCAGTATAATGGAACTTAATAGGGGTTTTTACATGTAAACCAGTATAATGCAACTTAATAAGGATTTTTACATGTAAACCACTATAATGTAACCTAATAGGGGTTTTTACATGTAAACCAGTATAAAGCAACTTAATAGGGATTTGTACATGTAAACCAGTATAATGCAACCTAATAGGGATTTTTCCATGTAAACCAGTATAATGCAACTTAATAGGGATTTTTCCATGTAAACCAGTATAATGCAACTTAATAGGGATTTTTCCATGTAAACCAGTATAATGCAACTTAATAGGGATTTTTCCATGTAAACCAGTATAATGCAACTTAATAGGGATTTTTCCATGTAAACCAGTATAATGCAACTTAATAGGGATTTTTCCATGTAAACCAGTATAATGCAACTTAATAGGGGTTTTTACATGTAAACCAGTATAATGCAACTTAATAGGGTTTTTTTCATGTAAACCAGTATAATGCAACTTAATAGGGATTTTTCCATGTAAACCAGTACAATGCAACTTAATAGGGATTTTTCCATGTAAACCAGTATAATGCAACTTAATAGGGATTTTTCCATGTAAACCAGTATAATGCAACTTAATGGAGATTTTTCCATGTAAACCAGTATTATGCAACTTAATAGGGATTTTTCCATGTAAACCAGTATAATGCAACTTAATAGGGTTTTTTTCATGTAAACCAGTATAATGCAACTTAATAGGGTTTTTTTTTCATGTAAACCAGTATAATGCAACTTAATGGGGATTTTTCCATGTAAACCAGTATAATGCAACTTAATAGGGGTTTTTCCATGTAAACCAGTATAATGCAACTTAATAGGGTTTTTTTCATGTAAACCAGTATAATGCAACTTAATGGGGATTTTTCCATGTAAACCAGTATTATGCAACTTAATAGGGATTTTTCCATGTAAACCAGTATAATGCAACTTAATAGGGTTTTTTTCATGTTAACCAGTATAATGCAACTTAATAGGGTTTTTTTCATGTAAACCAGTATTATGCAACTTAATAGGGTTTTTTCATGTATAATGCAACCTAATAGGTTGCATTATACCACCAGACCAAGACCCAAACGAAGACTCAGACCACCACCAGATAATGACCACAGACCAGGTTTCCTTAGTTACAGGAACCAAATTGTTTCAGCGGTGAGGGGATTTTTCAGTTTCAAGGACACTTTCAATACATTCAGTAGTTTCAAGGATTTCAGCTGTTTAAGAATTTAACCAGTTTCAAGGATATCAGGAGGTTCAAGGATTTCAGGAGTTTCCACACTTTCAACAGTTTCCAGGTTTAAAAAAGTTTCAAGGATTTCAGGAGTTTCAATGTTTCAACAGTTTCAAGGATTTCAGGAGTTTAAAGGTTTCAACAATTTCAAGGACTTCAGGAGTTTCAAATATCTATCAAGTATTTTAACAGTTTCAAGGCTTTTTAAAGGATTTCAAGGATTTTTTTTAGCAGATTTCCACATTAGATCTGTTCCGCAGTCAATCGCAATGGCTTCAGCCATTGCAAGTTTCTAGTTATTTATAACTTTCAGCATGGATAGTTATGGATTTACCAAGCCATGTTTTACATCATCTACTCTCTCAGGAAAACAACCAAATTTAATATATTATAACATTTGAACCATCAGAAGTTTAATAGTTAAATATAAAACAATGTGTTTAACTTCATATTTGATACAGTTTTGGTTAAATCTAAACAAAAGACACATTTTGCTTTGAGAAAAATGTCAAAATACCCCTGTAACGTAGTAAACAATTATAAAAAAAAGGAAATCCCTTCTATTCTTTCGGCCCCTGACCAGTTCCTAAATAATATCTATAGGATTAAGATTAAGATATCCTTTATTTGTCCCACAGTGGGGAAATTTTAGTTTGACCAATCAGATTCCTTTTCCATTCGCTGGGGTAACCTCTAGCCATTCTTAAACATTCCAAAAAACTGTGGTCAACCTGACACTACTCTGTGAAGGTACAATAAATGTATTAGTTTTTCCACAAACTGACAAACGTATACATACTTTTAAGTCCAGTGCTCATTCGTCTGTCTGAAATTCCACTCATCGTCCTCCCAACCTTCATGTTAACATGCACACACACAGAAACACACACGCACAAACGCACACACGCAGACAATCTCTGAGCTTGCACAGGAAGCTGCATCGTCTTAATTAAACAGAGACCCCCAGGACCGGAGCTCGGATGCAATTTGTAACGATTTCCCCTGGCCACAACTTTGATTATACCTTATGCTGACCACACACTTCTGACCACATTTAATCTCCCATTGAAACCCATTAGGACCCCCGCAAGCCCTGCACATGCACCTATCCTCTCCCTCCATTTCTGCACACCTCAGATATCTGTAAATAAAGGAGAATGGAACTTGCTATTTGAACAAAAACTTTCAGTGGGCAACTTCACATGAACCAGAATGCTTGCTGTCTTTATGGACAGCCTGTGCATCAACGCTGTGAAATTGCAAACTTATTCAAGGTACAACTTATTACTCTTTTTCCTTTCATCTCAACTCCTCAAAGTTCTGATGGATGGGGCTGACAGGAAAATCCACAGATAGGAGAAATATGGCATGATGGCTTCGCACTGCCGCTTTCATGGAGAAATGCAGACTTAACGGCTTTCCAGGAACATTTTTTGCAAAAATAATAACCAAGCAGCTGAGGTCTATTTGCATTCAACAGAATATCATTTTATTTACTAACATTAACTAAAAGGAAGGAACCCAAACAACAGAGGATGCAAGGAACATTGCTAATAGATCTAAAAATCTCACTGTGATTCAGAGGTTATGTGCAAAAAACCACATTTCTGAGAGAGATGCACTGCAAATTAATTGAACTTTTACGTCGCAAATTACATCTCAGAGTTCAATACATTCACCAATAAAAAAATGAGCATATATGGCCTGAATGAGCTATTGTTAGACAAACCCCAGCGACCAAACATTCTCCTGAAACCACACAACAAAGAGATTTAACATGTTCCAAGCCCTTTTTTGCCTGAGGAAGCGTTCTCTGCTTAACTTTAACTTGTAATTGCACCCTGCATGAACACCGCTCATTCTGCCAACTGCATTATTCACATGCTGCCGCTGCTCTGGAGAGGCGTGCTCGGGCCCGGGCTCGGAGCTGGGGGCAGAGATACGATTTTCTCATTCCAGCTAAACCCCTCTTTGCCCGCTCGTGTTGCAGCATTTAGCAGAGTGGGACGTAGTTAGCATACATTAGCCACATTCCGCTGTACTTACATTAACAGACTCGCGGCCCGCATACTTGACTCGGATTCTGGGCTCTTGGATAATGTCCAGATTGGTTCCTGTCACCATGAGAGGGGTGTGGCCACTGATGGGAATAAAAAGAGACAGACAACAATGGTTAAGTACATTTTAGGCATCTGACAATAACAATCACAATGTAATCAATCATATATTTTTGTTATGTTGGGTTTAAAAATATTTAGATAAGACACATCAAAGGGTTCTCCTGGCAGGGCTATGGCTGATAAAAATACGATTGCCTCAAGGTGGAAGCCCCCTCATTCAATGTCCAAAGGGTGTCAACACGGTCACAATGAAAGTAACTATTTGAATCTTTTTTCTTTTTTATGTTTTTTAATTATATGACTTGGACTGTACGCGCGCTCTGATTGGCTGATTACCGGTCTGATATTTTTCCATCTCGGACCGTTACCATGACAATTGGTCCGAACATCGCGTATCACACAAAACCAAGTCGGACATGAACATACTTCACAAATATCTCAAAAGCATTGGTAAAGACACAGACGAGAGTCATATAATAAAACATTTATTAACCTTGCTTGCTCGGTCTGTACAGAGAAATATCAGACCTTGGCCTTTTTGCACAGACCTCGCCACGGCTCGGTCTGTACGTTAAGGCCGCGGCCTGATATTTCTCCGTACAGACCTCGTGCTCGATTAATAAGCCGTTGATATGTTTGGCTTTCCCCCCAAAGAGCACACGGACTTCAATGCACTGTCTGTGGCTATACTAATAAAGAATGTTTTGCCCTCTCAATGAGAACTAAGCACTTCTGCAGGGCTTGAAGTTTGAATTTGCCATTTCAAAGACACAGACGAGTTCAAAAAGGAATGCATGTGGATATAAACAATGCATCAAAGGACTTGTATAAGGGCATCAAACTTAAATTAACAACAACAACAACATGGTGTCCAATGCAGACCATGAGAGTTGCTCAGTCTGCTTCACCTGTCTTTGGTCATAATATTCTGGAGGATCACGGCATTATATGAATATACAACAGTATACATCTAGCCGTGCTGTTGTCCTGAAGGTCCACATGGGTCTGCAGTGTGATGCAAACAAAGGCAAAGGAATCAGCTGGAAGCAGGCTTCTCCCTGCAGCTGTCCAGGCTCGTGTTGTTGTTTGCTCGCTTTATTGTAGCTACTGTCAATTTGGTGTGAATGAATAATGCTCTGCTGAAATCGCTGCGATAGAAAATGTCAGATGAGGTTGTGGAAGCTGTTCTGCAGAGTTTGCAGAAGGAAATATAGAGAGTCAAGTTTCTGTATGCAGACTGTGTCGGACAACAGTGTGTATGCCTCATTGCATTTCTCTAATACAGACTGTATGGCACGTGACGACAGACTCGGATCCCAGCAATAGGAAACCCTTTGAAAACTTCTTACACGTCAAAAACAGGATAATATTCTATAAAAATATGACTAGTTCTTCTATTTTACAACATATTGTAAATAGAATAATCATGGTTTAGGTTGATCTTTGGGGAATTAAGACTGCACTCACTGCATTATATGTAAAAATATGTATTGTGCAGGTTCAAAATAAAAAATAGTAATAAAAAACACAAACAAAATCTAAAAGCATACATATATAGGACAGTATCTGTTTCCACATATTGTGCCATCAAAGATATTGCTTGGATAGAAAGATAAAAAAGAAAATACAGTCTAAACATGGCCTAGCATAAGACTTTTTTTTTTTTTTTTTTTTTTTTTTTACAGAATATGGTAGTTTTAAATTATGATAATTACAGCTAAGTACAAAAGGTAGTAATTTGCTGCTGTCTATTTTGCATTTCACTGTAGATGACTATTGCCTTTTATATAATCAGCATGGATAAACAACCATACAAGGAATACTAGGGATTTCACAGCGATCACATAAATCATCCTTAATCCTCTCATCAATCTGCTTGTAAATGTTGCTGTAAAGTTGTTGTAATGAATTGAAAGAATGCTGAGACCAATTCATTTCTTCCGATGGGCATCTGTGGCCCTGCTATCAGATGCAGACTAATTAGTGCAGTAATTGGAAGTGCAGTATTGACCCAGTATTAGATGGTAGACAGCAGCATCAGCAGCAGCAGCAGCAGTATGTGAGTGCATGTGTTTACCTGGCGATGCTCCAGTCCGGATCTATGCGCTGCACTGTGGGGTCATCGATGTAGTCAAACGTGAGGCTTTCTCTGATCTGAGCACGGTCCACGCTCACGCTGATCTGGACTGGACCCACGCCCGACAGGGAGGGGGCGCTGTAGCACACGATCTCTGTCATAGTGCGGCTGAAACAGAGAGACAAAATGAAGACCTGTATACTTTTTCTTTAGCTTTAAATATTTGAGTGTTTTCAGCCTCGAGTGCGATTAAAGCCAGCCTGAAAACCTGTTGGAAAATGTTTTACTCATCTATGTTTAGATCATAAACCCAGGTTAAAAACAGTTCTGTTGTGCTATGCATACAACTGAAGGTTTTTATCTTCACTCTTTTAAACGTTCTGTGATTATTTACGATGTTAACGCCTTGTGACTGTCTCTAGGAGTTGCCGTGTGTATGAATTGTGCTATACAATTAAACTTGCCTTGCCTATTATCACATGTTGCACAACAGGGAGAGGCATTGGCTGTAGTATATTATCAATCCTTAAAACCAGTATCATAATTTGATTTTATATTCTAACTGCAAATAGTGCTGAATTTACTTGAGTTTTGCTAAATTTAGGCAAAATCTTGATTTAAGAATATTATCATTTCTTAAATATATATCGGCTGAGAACCTGGGTTGCTAATTCAAAATTAAATGTATTATTGGCCTGTGACGCACTTTTAAATCAGAGATTGTTTTCATCAGAAAAGTGAAAAAGAGAAGCCCCCCCTCACTCAGCCAATCAGCTCTGAGCCCAAAGCAAATCGTGACTAACAGGGCGCTATCTTTTACAAAGGTTGAAAACAGCATGCCGTGGATCAATTTGTTCACACAATTGTACTTTCACAAGACTAAAAACGTATTATTGATATTGATTCAAAAGGAATTATGTATTCGTTGGTGAAATATCCCTGTTGAAAAAGATTTGTATCTTGGTTTGAGAATGGTTGCATACTCAAATCAAGATAAAATTGGCAGTGAAAAAATAAATCACGTAGACCAAAATGTACTCAGCGTGACGCACCATTACATGACCTTCTTCGAGATTTCTCCTCATCAATCCCCCGCTCTCCCTCCCCCTCTCTCTCCTCTCCTTATCCTCTTTGTATCCACCATCGCCGGTGTCATTACAAAGTGCAATAATTAGCCTCATCCCTCATTAAAAGCTCCTTGACTCCTTCACCTTACAACATACGATGACACGGCCCTAAAATAGACATCTGCGTCTAGAACTGTGCAGAGAAAGAGGGCATCGGTGCACTACAAACAAAGGACTATCTGAGAGAAAAAATAATCATCTTTACGAGAAAAGATTAGAGCGGATCTATAAGCGCTGCAGCTATTACAGTTTTTCCTCTGGGTTTGATGCAGTAGGTCATCAAAAGCCTATTAGAATTTACACAACTTTTTTGACAAAGAGAGGTAGGAGTCTTTGCCTAAGGGACTGAGCAGTGATATCAAGGGAAAAGGATGAAACACATAGGGAGCTTATTTTGAATGTTACAAGCCAAATTGTCTGGGGAGTTAAGCTTGTGTGTTGTTCTTGTTTTTGCTCAAAGCACGCCATATTTCTGAGAGATTTCCTGACAGTGATGAATGTAAAAGACTCCAAAATGTGAAGAAGGGAAATGGAGATAAATGCGATCTTGTCTGTATAAATGAAGCATAACATTTTAACAACACTGGGGATGCAAAAATATTGAAATGTATGCTAGAGAGGGAATAGACATAGTATTAATTATGGATGCTAAGGATTGCTACTGAAATGCAATTTGATGTACACAGAGGGGGGTAGAGGGGCCCAACTTTGTACTCAAGTATTGAAATTAGAAAAAAAGCTATACATTTAATGTAATAGCCTAGTATGTAAAAATCTGGCCAAAAGTAGTACTGCAACCTCTCCCACTCTCCATGACAAAGGGTGCCAGATATGTAGACGAATCCAGCTGAGTTTTGTTAACAACAAATCTATAACTAACACCTTTTTCACAAAGGCCCCGATAGAAATCCTGGTTTTATTCCTTGTTTTGTCATCAATGATTTGAGAATCATAACGAGACCCTTTTTAGTTCTGCGGTACTTTACCAATGAGATTAGCTCGACGCTTTGAGTTCTGGCAACCCAGATCACAGACTTTCTGATTGGCAAAACGGTGGAAGGCGGGACATTGAAATTAAAACAATAACAAGATTTAGGGGCTGTAAAAACTAATTTTGAAAATCAAATATCTCGGCTGAACCACAGTTATCAGAAGTATTGGAAAAGAGCATGGTTTATTAATGCCTTTTAACAGATTAAGCCCATTTAATGATGATTTGACATGAAAATCTTACATATTGCTACTTTAATATATAGAACACATAATAGTTGTGCAAACATCTCAAGCATCAAAACTTGCACATAGAAATTATAGTTTAAATGTCTCACTCAAAGAACTCGCAGGTCTGGTTCCCAAAGCGCACGGTGACACTGCTGCCGGCCCCCAGGTTCTCTCCCATGATAGTGACTTTGGTGCCCCCAGATTCTGGCCCTCTGCTCGGGGACAGGCCCATCACTGTTGGGGTCTGCATACACACAGATGAAACATGATTAGTGCAATGTACATGACAATAGCAGTGCAGGTTTGTGTGTGGTTACAACTATGGCAAGCTTTCAAGTCGCTGAACTACTGCTGAACCTACTGCTGAACCTACTGCTGAACCTACTGCTGAACCTACTGCTGAACCTACTGCTCCTTCTGCACCTTGGGACATTTATGGACATTGGACATTCCGCTCTGTGTTTGCTATTATAGTATTTCCTGTGTTCGAACCGTTTAAATCTCTGATCTGTTGCTGGTCAACCAAAAAAGGTAAGGCCCTCGTAGCGACTGCTTGTTAGAATTTTAAAGAGAGTTACAACAAAGATGGTTTTAATTTTGAATGCGCTGGAACACTTAAAGCATTTTACTTTGGACTAGAGCAGAGAAAATGCTCCGACCCAAGCGGCTACTACACCCAGAGGCTACTCCATCTATGCTGCTGTTACCTGAAGGGTTGTTGCTGATTATTACTATTGTCAGCTTTTTTTAATGATCAATTTAAAATGTTGTATTTTTGCTGCTACTGGACACTTGCAATTTCTCCGATTGGGATCAATAAAGTATCTATCTATCTATCTAACACAGCTAAAGGTTGGTGAAGCTGTTTATTTTAACTTAAATCACACTAATTCCAGTATCAGTTTTTAATGTGGCCAATGGGTAAGCTGCAAAGGCCTTTTTTGCTGACAAACTTAAGCATTTCACAGCACAGAATGTCGCTATAACTTATATATGTCTACGGAAAATGATTTTTTTCAGGAGGCAGGTCTGAGGGCAGGGGATGGTTCATTTATCCATTTTCTTAATTCCTATAAACATTGGGTTAATCTGTTTGATGTTTTTGAACCCGCTACTGACAATTTTGTGTAGTCCATTAAGCTGTTGTAATTTTGGGCTGTAGAAAAAACTCATTCATCTGATTTGACATTCAGTGGAAGAACGAACTCTCCACGGCCAAAACATCCAAGTCTCCCATCGAGAGGCACATCCAAGAGACGGAGACTTGGAGATAAAGGCTCAAGCAGGTGCTCACAAACAGTGGGGTAATTAGTGGAGCTGCTAATTGTGTACGGAGCCTGTGAAAAGGTGTGGAGAGCGTGAATAGAGGAGAGGGAGTGTGTGAGGACCAGACCTGGTACATGGCCAAACACAAACAAGGAGAGAAGGCCACCACTGTTTGGGAGCTGCTTACACCCTGACTATTCTTCTAAGGGACATTCATGACCAATCACACACTAAATGATGCATCCTTAATTATATTTTCAACATTGTGAAGGCAGCATTTGTATGATTGCTCTTCCCGCACACACCAGACTCATTCTGGACGATTTGGGTGAAGTCAATCAATCAATCAAATTTTATTTATAAAGCGCTTTTCATACATAAGATGCAACACAAAGTGCTTTACAGATTGGTTAAAAACAATCCCGCCGACCCAAGACCCCTCCCCCAGACCACCCAACAGACCCCCCCCAAACCACAGACAAACACACACACACGCGCTCATGAACACTCATACACACACACACACACACACACACACACACACACACACACACCAGTAAAACAATAAAAACATGATGAGAGACTTGGCAGGGTTCAGATGCAACCAGCTGAAAAAGCGTCATCCAAGGAGCCGTCTGCACCTGGAGCAGAGAGCCGCCCGTAGCCACAGGGGACGACACAGGACCCAGAGGAGACATGAAACCGAGGCCCCAGGCCCCCACCAGGCCCAAGAGTCCGACCCCCGCAGCCACACCGACCACTGCTCCCGGTGCAGAGGGCTCCTCCAGAGGAAACACTGGGTACACTAAAAACAATACAATAAGTAAAACACTAAAATGTGAGACTAAAAGGAACACACAATACATGAATAATAGCAATAGCAATATAATAAATAATAAATAATAAAAGATAAATAGAATGGAATAATAAAAACTAATCAAAAGCTACTCTAAAAAGGTGCGTCTTGAGCCTACTTTTAAAAATATGAACGTTCTCTGCGGCCCTGAGCTCCTCCGGCAGACTGTTCCAGAGACGGGGGCCGTAGTGCTGGAAAGATGCCTCGCCGTGAGTGTGTGTCCTGACTTTGGGGATGGTTAGGAGTCTGCTGCCGGAGGAGCGCAGGGGCCGGGAAGGTTCATAGGATAAAAGCAAATCTGAAAGATAAGAAGGCCCAAGACCATTAAGACATTTAAAAACCATTAAAAGAACCTTAAAATCGATTCTGAAACACACGGGGAGCCAATGCAGCAATTTTAAAACCGGTGTAATGTGGTCCCGCCCCCTGGTCTTAGTCAGGACACGTGCGGCCGAGTTTTGGAGTAATTGAAGACTTGCAATGTTCTTTTTGGGAAGACCAGAGAGCAGGGCATTACAATAGTCAATGCGACTGGTGATAAAAGCATGCATCAGCGTCTCCGTGTTGGCCCGAGAGAGAATGGGGCGGACTCTGGCGATGTTCTTTAGATGATAAAAACCTATTTTTGTGATACTCTTGATGTGAGGAATAAAAGTCAGCTCAGAGTCAAAGATTACGCCCAGATTTTTCACTTGTGATGATGGATTAAAAGAGTTGTGATTGGAGTTTTGATAAAAGTTTCTCTCTCTGGGCCTCAGGACCGATGACTAAAACCTCAGTTTTGTCCTGGTTAAGCTGGAGAAAGTTTTCTGCCATCCAGGATTTCAGGTCTAAAATGCAGTTAAAAAGAGCATCCATTGGCCTGGTGTCATCAGGGGACATGGAGATGTACAGCTGAGTATCATCTGCATAACTGTGGAAGTTAATTCCATGTCTCCTGACGACACCGCCAAGAGGGAGCATGTACAGGTTAAAAAGGACTGGACTAAAATGGAACCCTGGGGCACACCACATGTGATTTTATGGACTGAGAGGAGCAGGTAAGTAAGTAAATAAGTAAGTAAGTGTTTATTTATAAAGAGTATTTTTCCGTCAAAGCGCTTTACAATGATTAGATATTTTTACATTCACACACGGTGATGACAGAAGCAAGACGGCGAACACACTGGCTCACTTGTATATGTGTCTAGTGGTAGGGGAAACCGGAGCACCCGGAGGAAACCAGAGCAGACATGGGGAGGACATGTAAACTCCACTCAGAAAGGCCCTGTTCCGACCGGGATTCAAACCCAGGACCGCCTTAAAACACAACAACAGACGCAGCCGTCCCACTGTGGCACCTTGTGTTGCTAGATGTCTCCCATCACAGTACTAACCAGACCTTGCCCTGCTTAGCTTCTGAGATATGAAAGAATCAGGTTTTCAAATGCACCAACACACTTTTAGAGAAGAACAAAATACATCTAGATCAGGCGTCTCCAATCTGTAACTCAGGAGCTACCAGCAGCTCGCCAGCCACTTTCAGGTAGCTCCCCAAAGGATTTAGAATTCAACACATGATCTCGAATTAATACATATTGAGTCATTAAATATCTATTATAAATATAGGGTTCTACAGTATTAAAGTATATTTTACCATCTGCTTCTGCTGTTGCAAAAAAGTAGCTCTCCGATCGAAAAAGGTTGGAGACCCTTGATCTAGATCCTAAACGAATAGAAACTTCCTTCCAACTGAACGCTTCTAAAAATAGCCTGTAAAAGTTATATTGACGTGGGAACAAAAAGTGAAATTTAGAACCAGCTCTGAGCACCACACTGGAGCCACACACTTTAATTACACTGTCAGTAGACATTGTTTGCTCGCAGGCACATTCACAATTAGTTTTCCAGAAAAGAACAAATGACTCGTAATAGGATTAGGTGTATATTTGCTGAGAGTGAGTGCGTGGAGCTTTTACCACAAAGGAGTAGAGCTGAGAGGAACGCGCCCGCAGCTCCGGTCTGCAGTCGCCCACACACAACTGCACCGCGCCGGCCCGACTGTCCGGAGGAGCCGTGGCCATCTCACACACAATCCTGCAGAAAAAAACACACACACAAACTTTATTTAGAGAAGTAAAAATTGGAGAACAAAATATCAACTTTGTTCTGCCTACAGGAGAAACTGTCCGTAGGTTTTAGTATCGCCCATAAGCAGTTGTCAATGTTACGAGTTTTGTAAGAGAGAAAGAGTAAATTCTATCATTGAAAAAGATTAAGTTGTTTATCTCAGTGTATTTAGCCCTGAACAAAATGAGTAACGCTTGAGTCGCTCTCATTTTTTAACGGACTGCGTTTACTGACACAGGCTTTTTCATGGCCAATGCTAATCATATACAGTTCGTAGATTTTTTCTACAAATCCAAGGCAGCCAACGGCCAGCTGGCTCTACCTACATTTTTTTCCCTTTATTTTATACTATTATGTATCTTATTTGTAGACATCTGCCTTATTTAGATTACAGGAGCTTCACGTCTTAATGATGGGCTACTTCCATGTTATTTTACACTCTAACGTAACTAAGTAAGTAAGGAAGTAATCTCTCTTCTTATAAGCACCTTTCACAGACAAGATTCACAAAGCTCTTCACAATTGTTGTGGGCATTTGACAAAGCGATTAGATAAGGGTCCGTGCAATTATTGTCTGACAAAAAAACGGCCAGTGGCACTAAAAAATACATTATATTTATAGTGTTATATATTATGAAGCAATGATGTTGTTTGTTTTTGCACCATAATGCCAGATTCCTAATTGGTAAACGTTCCCTGAAAATGGCAATAATCAATTCTGATAATTCTGCAAAGTAACTACTTCTTTTGATTCCTGTTTTGTTGTTGTTGTTGTCATACTCAGGAATGTCATCCCTTTCCATTCAGAGACTTTTTGATTAACGATTTTAGTAGTATAAATGTGTCTCTCTATAGGTCTGTCATATTGAAAGCCTCATCAACATTGCATCATTGAATCCACAAGTTGAACTAATCCAAAAGTATTAAGCTTGATATCGATTTGTCTGCAACTCTAAATGTATTCTTCTCATGTCACTACTTCTACTATAATGGTTTTTTTCAAGGAGCTCCCAACATGTGAAACCTAAGTGTACATTTGCCACTAACCACCATTGTCTCAAGCACCATGTTACTGCCACTACGAGTGTAATGGAAATCTCAGGATTGGAATCGATGCAGCTTTATCATAGCATGCCGCGTGAGTGTCGGCGCGCCCTGCTGGTGACTATATCAAATGACATAATAAAATGAGGGAGGCTATTGATCGGAGCAGTCAGACAGAATGAGAAGGAGAAGCAAAGAGGACAGAGATGGAGGTGTGGGGAGGTGCACGGCATAGGGATATGTTTAGTGTTATGTGGTGTGAACTGAATATATTGACTGCAATGTTGGCAAATTGGCTCTTTGTTCAAAAATCGTCTCAACATCTTATTTTGAATTTCATATTTCAACACATCTACAAGTATTATTTAAGGATTCACACATTCCTTGAAGCCTCAAAGTGTTATTTACAACTTCTCAAGCCCAGGATGTAGTTTGACGGTAAGCTAACAAGAGCTCGCCACAGTTGCTCTCCACAGTGGCTCAGCACAGTAGCTCGCCACAGTAGCGCTCCACACTCGCTCGTCACAATAGCTCTCCACAGTTGCTCTCCACAGTGGCTCAGCACAGTAGCTCGCCACAGTAGCGCTCCACACTCGCTCGTCACAATAGCTCTCCACAGTTGCTCTCCACAGTGGCTCAGCACAGTAGCTCGCCACAGTAGCGCTCCACACAGTAGCTCGTCACAATAGCTCTCCACAGTTGCTCTCCACAGTTGCTCTCCACAGTGGCTCAGCACAGTAGCTCGCCACAGTTACGCTCCACACAGTAGCTCGCCACAGTTGCTCTCCACAGTTGCTCTCCACAGTTGCTCTCCACAGTGGCTCAGCACAGTAGCTCGCCACAGTTACGCTCCACACAGTAGCTCGCCACAGTTGCTCTCCACAGTTGCTCTCCACAGTTGCTCACAACATTTGCTCACCACAGTAGCTCCAAGTATCCAAGTAGCAATCTCTTTTCAAGGCACATTGGCCATAAATCAATCACGTACTAACCATGCTATTTTATGAGTGGGCATGTTTTGCTCTGATTTGTATACAGATAGTACAATATAGTCACACATTCTCTGCTCTGATCCTCACTTGTAGAGAGATTTTATAATGCGAACACAAAAGCATCAAAGTGAACAGCGGAATACAATTAACCATTGATCAGTGAGGCAATTCAGACTTCTCCAAAACGCAATGCTCAATTTGGCTTTTGTTACATAAGAGGATAAGAGAAAGAGGAATATGCATAGATGATTTCAATACACAAACAAGGACAAAACAATGTCAAATCCATTGCATTGGAGGTGGCATCAAAGTTAACAGCCTATTTCTCCCACAAATTAAGTACACATGGTTCTTTGTTAAACGCTGAAGCGGATTTACCCACCGATATTTCTTTTTTCATAACGCCAAGTTTTAGCCTCGCACCCCCGGGCCTGCATTATTATCACTCAAATTTATGGAAAGCTGATTGGAACTTCTTATTTTCATCCCTTTTTTCAAACCTGCGGCTAACTGTGCAAACTTAATACAAAACTAATGATCATTGTGCTGAGGAATACGGCAAGATAGTAGTACTAGCCTTCAGAAAAATGTACTTCCTGGCAGCGCTGGGGAGAAAGATGGAAAAAAAACACACAAAACTTTTTTCTTCAAAGAACTAGTGGCCTTCACACGATTCTCTGAAGTGCAACATAAAAGAGGCATAAATATGTATACCTTTCCTGTGTGTTTGTCCAATCTGAACCATCATAGGAAGCTGAATTATGAGCGAAAACAGCCAGGTGAAAGTTTAAACAAAAGGCTAAAAGCAAACATGGACCCCATCTCTCACAAACTTTATTATAATCATACTACACTAATGATTTCTAGACACTTACATTTCTCCTGGGAGTCTCCCAAATTAGGCACTGATCTTCTCCAATTAGCAGTTGCAAGAAATTAAGTCAATAAAAAAGGTTCCTAAATGTTCTCTGTTGTATTAGTTTAATTTTCCGACAAAAATAAATGGTAAATAACATGAGTTTGTTTTTATTTCTTCAGCTTCAGTTTACTTCTCAGTCTTAATGTACAAGTACAAGCTCTTCTTGTATTTTGTGATTTGAGTGTAAATACTATTGCATACAGTTACATATTTTGTTACGTTCAAACACATTTTGACGTGTTGATCTATCCCTGTTAAAATAATTGGATCTTTTCAGAATCTGTTTCAAAGTTGTTCTCGCATCAGAGGTTATTTTATTGTATTTTTCGCTGAGTGGATTTTTAAAACATGCTACAGATATGAATTCCCCGGCTTGTCCCCCATTTGGATTAAAGCCCTGTCAGATCACTGCTCCGCTGACAAATTGTCTCCTGCAGCTGGAGCGGCACATAGTGAATTTTAATTATAACTGTGCAGTAAGTAAAAATTGATGCAAGTTCTGTGCAGTGTCCTTGGGTCTGTGAATATTACAAGAATGGAGTTTTTAAGGTCGAAGATTTTTTTTTTTTTTTTATTGTCGTTTGTTTCAGTTTATTTACTTATTTCAGACATTACTTCAGGCAAAATAACTTCAAAAAATTGAAAAGCAGATGGCTTAGACGCTTAATAGACTCACATTCATATTAATATCATATCTCCTTTAATGTCTTGGAAATGGGCATCCGTATACACACTGCTCATTTATAGATTTCATGAAATATAATACACTGCCTTAAGTGTATAAAAACTACACATCAATGCATAATTAAAAACCCACTGCATGTGTTGGATCCAGCAATGTCATGACCAATCCTCATAATTGCTATATTTCCTTCTGTTGTTATTACTTCAACATGTACTTTCTAGTCCATGGTCTTATTCCCTAGTACTTCCTAAACCTAAACACCCTATATTTAGAAGTACACACCTAAGTAGTATATACTCTCTGTGCCATCCTCTCCCACGTGGGTTGTACATCAGTGGCGGAGGTAAACAACCACAGGGTAAGTGTGTGTGTGTATGTGTGTGTGTGTGTGTGTGTATGCTGCCAAGGGGGACAGTGGAGGGGAGGGGAGGGAGAGGAGGGGGTGATGTATGGAGCACGTTTCATTAGTTCAGGGTGAGCGGGACGGGCCCCTATAATGTGATGTATGCGCGGCGTGGGACAATTAGGAAGGTAAACAGGAGTAAACACACACAGATGTTATGAGAAGGGAGCGGACTGGAGATTTTTTTTTTTTTTTTTTGGCTGGACCTGTTCCAGACTAGATTAATCCAAGCGCAAAACATGTACGGGACACATATTAGGCCCATTATTGACCGGCCAACTGGCTCTAACAGTGCCAGACGCTTTGCATTAGGTCACTAATAGAGGCTGGTTTTAATATACTGTTCACAATGTAGTTCATTATATTCATGAAGTGGTATGTACAGTTTTAAATGTGCTTTTCATCCATTAAAATGCTCTAGATTAGAATTGAGAAAGGGACACAAAATAATATAATTGTTTTAAATTTGTTTTTTTTATTTTTTTTATTGATTGCTATATGTAAAAAAGTGTAGTGCAATGCCCATTCTGACTATCCACCATACAAAGTAAAATGAGCAGATAAAAAATGTACTAAACGTTAGCCTTTGTATTACCTTTAACTTTAAATAATTTCTCCCTGTCAACCAAGCCACTAAAATCTTCATCTATTGTTTATTATAGAAAGGGTTTCATTATTTATACTGTCAAGAGCAATTTCTTTTGTTTTGTTTGAATGATCTACAGCGCAGCGTTTTGGAAACAATACAGTCCATAAAAAGCACCACTAAATAAATACAGTGATTTTGAGTTATTGCTATAACGTAGAAGAAGGTCCTTTATTCGTCCAACAGTAGAGAAATTTCAATTTGGTGAATATACATAATGTACATATACACATCAAGGCATGTAGCAACCATTACTTCTGCGTTCCTTAGGCAAAGTGGGTAAAGTGTCTTGCCCAAGGACACAACAACAGCAGACATCAGTGAAAAAGGTCTCGCAAGGGGCTCGAACCCACGACCTTCAGGCTCAAAGGCCAGTGCTCTACCAACTGAGCCACATACATAGGCACATACTGTATGTTTAACCGTTAAGGCTCATAACTACAGCATCAACGCAAACTCACTGCTCTGCGATGATGTATCCGTCCTCCACCGGCGTGCAGCGGACTCCTGCCACCTCCACGTTGTTAACCATGTCGGAGAAGGCCAGGCCCAGGTTGCTGCCAAGGATCGTCACCCGCGTGCCTCCCTCCGGTGGTCCTGCCATCGGGGTCACCTGCACAGAACGCACAAACATGACAAACGTTATTTTCCTTCTCACATATACACACAATGTCAGATCTCTCTGTGTAAGCTCCAGGCTGCAGCCCAGGTGGTCGTAAAAGCAATTAAAGGCACTCTTCATGGCACATCTACGACATGTTGTGAGTCACTGTGCCAAAGGCGGTGATCTCACCCTGGCTCAGCAGCAGACTATATTCGGCAGCTCCCACTATTAATAACTCAACCGTTCCAAAACAGTTAAAATTGGCTACAATACCAACACATGTGTATATATTTATACTACATATAGTGACATATTATTCATATCTTGGCCCAATGTATCATTATACGTGTTTGTCACAACACCACAACTTGGCTGCTTGACTGATGATTAAAACTGACGTATTTTATAGAACGCTAAATGCAGTACTGGGCTGGAGGTGGAATCGAATCCAGGACGTTCTTGTTGTGAACTATGCCACCCACACTTTCTAGGAGTTGTAGGATTACTGAAATTACTAACAGGAATAAATAAAGATTCAAGCTTCAAGAATAGATTTGCCATTTGCAGTAAAATCACATTAAAAGACAAAGATTGACAGAAAGTAGGAAAGTGTGGGAAGTCAGGTTGCTATATAGAAAGAGTTTTGGTACCTAAATGTAGGGCACCAAATAAAAGGTTAAAAAAAACTAGGCTCTGAAATAGAAAGTGATAAATTTCCCACATATATAGATAAACATTTGATTACGCTGTGCTCCTGTCTCATCGTGTTGAATTGATTAATGAAATCTACTGCACTGTCCATTATACCAATTTTTTTCCTTCTACTTTTTCTACTTCTACTAGAACTTTTGTAATCTTCGCAATCTTTGAAATATGTGTCTTATAGTTAAACTGAGCCAAATGTTCACTTTGAAATGTATTAAGACAAAATATATTAGTCGTACAATTAGCTTTTGACACTGGTTTGCTGCTGCTGTTGCCACCAGAGATAAAGCTAACAAGGGGCCGTGCTAATTCTTATGGCGGACCACCTCATAAAGCTCAATATGGCCTCTCTGCACGACCTTGGCTCGGGGTGGCCCAGCGCCTTCTGCTCGGCCCCACACTGACATGGCACAGGTCCAGGCACTTCAACAAGAGACAGAGGGGACAAGGGAGCAAGGAGGCAAGAAGGCAAGGAAGCAAGGAGCCAAGGCGACAGGGAGGGAGAGAGAGGAGGGCACTGGGCTAGAGAAGATGACTGTTTATACAGCAGCGGCAGCAAAGTGGCAATCAATATGCTATTACTGGCAAGCAAGCAGAGAGGAAAAAACTAAGAGTGCTTGCTTACTGAGCTGAGAATCCCTGAGAGTGGAGACGAGTGGTGTTTGGAAAATTGCTGAACATAAGATCTAAAGTGCATATGAAATGATATTAAAGTCGTCTTGCTCTCCAGGATTTGGGAATGGATAAAAAAAAATGGCTTGTTTCTCTGGAGCAGATTAATTTGGTAGTTTTGAATTTTTTTGACACCACTCTAGAAGGAACATCTGGCATAAATGGCGACCTTTTGTGTAAGTATGAGTATTTGTGTTAAAATTGCACACAAATACACATATTTTCAAATCCATTAATGTTCACTCCTTGAAGAGAGCAAAGCAAAGTCGATTTTTCCTTTTTCATTTTCTAAGATGTAGGAGCACTAATAACACAGAATTTTTTATTTTTTATATCCCCTCTTTTTAATTATAGGCCTTTACCAAATGCTTGAGATACAGTTTAACGGTAAAAGTGCCAAAAACCGAGTGATCAAGATTCTCCAATTAGGTAGATTTCTGTTCCAAGCATGCTTCAAAGTAGACTCAAAGTAGTGATTCAAAAAGTAATCCACCAAATGGATGAGGAAACCATTAAAAGGGTCAACACTCTCACTTTTCCATTGACCTGACTTGGAACTTTGACTGGTGTAGTTCCATCTAGTCTACACTAAGATTGATCTATTGAAACTTTTAGTACTGAAAACGGAAAATTGTAGAAAGGCCACAACATTCCCCATGGAGCCAAACAGGAGACAGACCTTCAATCAGAAAGCTACACATTTAAAGGCGTTCCACTTTCCCTGAGCCCAATGTGCGGCTCTCCTGTGGGCCTCTTTGTAATCTCATTCAGTGGACATTAATTGTTGTGGATGTAAAGTAAGTGTGTCACCGCAGCGCCCCAGGGTTGAGAATACATGAATCTTTTAGAACCGCTTGGGCATGCCGTGGTACAAATACACATAATGGCTAAATATATCTTTGTCGAGTAGAGTTTGTGATGGTTACATACAGTAAGCAGCGAAAGTACTTATAAGCAGAGGTGGCTACAGTAAATTGTGCTATTGTAAGAGCGCTCTTGTATTCGAAATGATTATGTTGTAATATGTACACTTACTGTAGAGTACACATTAAATGTTCTTGTGAATGGATTGTGCTGTACAAAAAAAATCCTTGACTAAGGATTTGTCTTCTGAAAAAGTAACAAGAGCGTTCACACTTGCTGGTCTGACTTTAACTGGACATGGGAAAAATGCTGCAAAGATCTGTTTCCAAATATGTCAACGTTAAGTGACCAGTGGATTCATGTGCACTCAAGTGAACCAGAATGGGTTCAGTTCAAATGTGAACGTGGCTGTAGTATATGACTTAATAGTCTCTCTAAACTCATCACAAGGAAGAATAATTGGTTCTACAGCCTGAGTCCTAGAACTACAGCCTGCCGCTCCCTGGGAGTGGATCCCTCGCTCAGTATGCGCATCCCCGAGGTTTTAAATCCCTACTGTTGTTCCTTGCAGGAGCAAAAAAATCCCCAAAAATGGAACAAGAGAGTGCTGTATTTACAAGTGGCAGGTGCCAGTCTATCGATCTGTGACAGTACTGATGTGAACCCTGGGGGGCGTCAGGGGGGATGTTGACAGGACCACGCTGTAGTGTCGCTGATGGACTTACTAAAAGCTTCGACCACTCCTCCCGTATTCCCTTTTGCACTGAGATGTTCCTGAAACGGAGCTCCTCTACACGGCGGAGCAGAAGAAAAAACAAGCAGAGCGTGAAAGCGGTTGAGTGACGCTCCCGGTGGTGGACGAACGGGCTCCGCTCATCACCGGCTCAGAGCAGAAGCACTTCACAAACAAGTGTGGACATGTTCAGACGGGGAGGTTTTAAGTGGAGCTGCTGTGTTGTTAAAGGGAAAAAGAAGAGCCTTGTTTTCCTGTTTACAAGTCAACGACAGTAAAATACATTTGTACAGGATCAGCCTGGAGTGTAACATGGATCAACTGCTTGTTCCGATAGTGGAAGTTGACACGAGACTGAAGACGAGTTATTATGTACACATTAAAGACCTTATGCCGGGTTTGATTTATTTAGAAATACAGTTTTAATACCATTTTATATTAGAAGAGAACTACTAAAGGTTTCAAAATCAGTTGTTGTTTTTTTTGTCTGATCCCCCCAAATCAAAATAACCCCATAGCAACGCCCTTAGAGATGAAAAAACTTCACAGCCCTTGGTGACGTCAGAGTGGGTACGTTTCAACGCTGTAAGTTGTTTACAATTTGGTATTCGTTCTTTTTTCGCGGATATTCAAGATGGCAAGGCCGTGTACAGCGAGTATGATATTAGTACTAGATTGTAACTAGTGGTTGTGTCGATGGACTGCCAATCCGGATACTGGGGTTCAAATCCCACCTCAGACACATTTTCACACTCAAAACTGCAATTTATGTGTAGTGAGCAATTGTCACCTGTAGAGGGCAGTATTGTGTTGGGCATCAGTGGAGAGAAGAGAGAAAAGGCAGTCCTGTGGCATAGATCCATGGTTTTCAATGCATGGGCGTAACCCGTTATGTCGTCACACACAGGTTAGAACATAGACAACTTAAATTCATGAAAAACACGTTCTTTTTATAAAATATAGGATTTTTTTTGCCGGAATCTATTTCAGATTGACATTGTCATGCAATTTTGATATCCACAATTTAAATTAAAAAAAACCCTACATAAGGTCTTTAAAGAAAGCGCTTTACAATTTTGGTACCAGTGAACCCGGAGCACCTGGAGGAAACCTATGCATCAAATCCAGGACCTTCTTGCAGTGGAGCACAAGCGCTAACCACTGTGCTAAGGTGCTGCCACTATATACTGTTTAATCCTCAGCTCAAAGTGACCCGCCACAGAAAAAAAATGCCAAGGTGAATTTTAGGCACTAATTTAGGGTATTATTCTACTTTTAATCACTGTTGTGGGTTACTTTGACCCGAGGGCTGCACAGGGGATGTAGAAATGGACAATGCTAGCCCCTATTTTAGATTACATTTTTAACCACTGTTTCGTTTACTACCTTTACAGCATTCTACGCTACATTCACATTATTCCTCAAAATAAGTTAATAAGCGTGTTACACAATTTCCAGGTTAAATTAACAACAGGTAAGCACATAAAAAAACAACACTATTTCCTATAACGTGAGGAAATAGTTACCTCACGAGAGGTGATGAAGGTGTGCTTTTGAAAATGCAAAACATTCTGCTCCTATTTGTTTGGTTATTTGCTTCTGGCATTGACAGCTGAGTAGCATGCAAAGTTGTTTACCCTGATTTTCAATTGCTTGAAGGGAATACCTGCAACTCATCACCTAAATGTTCATCCGGTCCTTTTGCATGAAGCTAATATTTAAACTACCGCCTGAAGGCTCACTGCAGCTATACCTCTCAGCTTTACTGATTGACGTCTTTGGATGTCTTTATCACTATTGACATTTTAATGCATATATACAGCAAAATTGACATATGGTTTTGGCTGCCATTCCGGCACTGACGTGTGTAACATTTGAACAGATATCCATAATCCTTTTAGAGGGTGAAACTTGTCTTTCTGTTGCAGCGAAACATCCTCTTATTTGTATGTCTGCAGCTTTCATCATTGCTGGTCCCTGAGGCGGGCCGACACATCCTCTGCCTCTGAAGACCAGGCCTTGTTTGTGTTCCCAT